GTGGCGGGAGCTCGACAAGAGCACAGCTCTTAAATTATGAATGATTGAACATTGAAGGTAGCCGCAACCATCGTACCATCAGGTAGCCGTCGACCAGTTTGCCATTGAAATTAAATAAATAATTACCTAATAAATTTGTTTCGATTAGTTTAATTAAGGAAACAACAAGTTTAGCTGAAACATTGAAAACTCATATATTGTGTTTTGCAAAATGAATTACTAAATTTTGCCTACACGTTAATATTGCAAGTTTTGCAACAGTTCAAAGTATAAAGTAGTATTTTGGCATTAGAATACATGTTTTATAATACATGATTTTGTTCCCTACTTTACTTGTTATTTAACCTATTCTATACATATAAATAAAATTGGAGTAGGATCTTTTATTTTAGAAAGAAAAATTATTTTAGAAAAATGTTTATAATATTCATATAACCGTTTTTTACTACATGCGTATGAATATAAATACGGTACATACACTAAAATAATATTTTTTACAATTTTTTGTCTGTCTGTCTGTGTTTGTTTTTTCTAATAATATATACAAAGATTTTTTTAGCTATTCTAATTACAGCTTGAAACGAGTTGGACCGATTTGAAGGGACGGGACTTCAGTCTTATTCGAACCTCGGCTCAGGCCGTTGTAATTTCGATCGCCGATTGAATTTGACGGGGGATCGAACTGAGAGAGCAGATTTTGTTCAAGTAAAAGTATAGCCCAGAAACTATGAAATTCTTTCACTGTTTCATAGGTACATTATTGCAATTATATATTTTAACATATGTAATGAAACCTATATAGGTATCTTTAAAAAGTCAGGGCCGGTGCTGTCGCTGTCTGTCCGTCTCTATATATGCTAAAATCTTTAAAACTACGCAACGGATTTTAAAGCGGTTTTTTTAATAGATAGAGTGATTCAAGAGGTTTTTATACATAATATATGTACACCCGTGCGAAGCCGGGGCGAGTAGCTAGTAATTTACATAAAATACATATCTATACATATAAATAAAATTAAGAGTGTCTGTTTGTAATATTGGAATAACCATTTCTTACTATGTAGTAAAAAACGGTTATTTCAATATTACAATACCATATATATATATATGGTACATATAACAAAATAACATTTTTTATAATATTTGTCTGTTTGTCTGTCCGTCTGTTTGTTCCGGCTAATCTCTTAAATGGCTGGACCGATTTTGACGGGACTTTTTTTGGCAGGTAACTGATATAATAAAGAGTAACTTAGGCTGCTTTTATTTTAGAAAATTCTATTATTTTATAAAAATAAAGTTAATTTCCACGCGGACGAAGTCGCGGGAACAGCCAGAAAATACAAATAACAGTTTTTTAATACAAGCATATGAATTTAAACACGGTACATACACCAAAACATTATTACCATTTTTGTCTCTCTGTCTGTCTGTTCGTTCCGGCTAATCTCTGAAGTAGCTGGACGGATTTTGTCGAGACTTTTATTGGCAGATTTCATTTTATAAAAATAAGTAAAACTAATTAACTATTCCACGCGGACGAAGTCGCATGTATAGCTAGTCTAACATACAATTTTAAGTAGAGTCATCGTTGAAAACTCATGTTTGCTAGTAAGCATGTCCTAATTTCATCAAATTGATGTTTTGCTTGCATTATTGAATAAGTTTAGCTGAATTTACTGCACTTGAAAATATCGCAATTCAGTATTATATAGTAATTATGATCAAGTGATGATTATTATGCTACGGTTATATATACCATTTGTAATTTTACAACAATGTCTAGATATTCTATTTTATTCTAGAATATAATAGAACATTCTTGATCAATAAACTTAAATTTAAACACTTTTGAATAGTCATTTTTGTTGTCACAAACTTTATTAGATATTGTTATTTTTACAAATACATCTTATATATAAAATTCTCGTGTCACAGTTTTCGTTCCCATACTCCTCCGAAACGGCTTGACCGATTCTCATGAAATTTTGTGAGCGTATTGAGTAGGTCTGAGAATCGGAATTTTTTTTTTCATTTTTTAGACAAAATTTTTAGTTTCTATTTTTTTATGATACGACATACAAAAATACATACAATCCTAAATTTTCACCCTTCTATCATCAACCCCTATTTTTTTATAGCGTTATTAATTTATATGGCAAAACAACGTTTGCCGGGACAGCTAGTATACATATATAATAAATTTTGAATAGAAATTACAATATCTATTCATATAAATAAAATTGGAGTGTCTGTTTGTAATATTGAAATAACCGTTTTTTACTACATGCATATGAATATGAATACGGTACATACACCAAAATAACATTTTTAACCATTTTTGTCTGTCTGTTTGTTCCGGCTAATGTCTAAAATGGCTGAACCGGTTTTGACGGGACTTTTTTTGGCAGGTAGCTGATGTAATAAAGAGTTATTTAGGCTGCTTTTATTTTAGAAAAATGAAGTTAAATTCCACGCGGGCGAAGTCGCGGGAACAGCTAGTATGAAATATAAAATTATACCTATGGCCAGTACGTCATCAACAAAAATAGAGAGATAGACAAGTTTTATAATTATTTTTTGTTATGGGTACTTTCATTTCACTTTTCATTTAGTAAAAGGCTATTAATTTGAAATTAGAAACAGACGTATGAATTTTATATTTATTTGTACAGATAATAGTAATTACAAAACCCATACAAAGTCAGGGATATTTGCTAGTTTTCATCAATACCTAAACTGTATTAGTATTAATTGAATCTGTAATCAAAACAATATTAGGTACTAAGACGTATTGATAAAGATTTCTTATTACAGACAAAACTCTAATTGTTATTTTATTAATGCTTGACTTAAGATAATTAAAGATCATATAAATCTTGGAACCTATAAAAGACGTTGTTGTTATCAACAACGTCTTTTATAGGTTTAATACTTATGTATTGGAATTTCAACGACATTACTGACGACTCTTTTATAATTCCAATATCTTGCAGATTTATCAAATTTTTATACAATCGGATTGTTCATGAGAATGAGCTAAAGATAGTAATCTCACGACAATTCACACAGCGCCATCTAGACCTAAGTTAAGCTTAGCTAGCTTAACTTAGGTCTAGATGGCGCGTCTAGAAGCTTGTGTTATGAGCACTAGATAACTGACACAAATATATATAGATATATTTTTTCGTAAATACATAGGTACGTAGAAAACTCCCAGACCGATACGAACAATCATACACATGAATACGAATGTTTGTGCCGTGCGAGGAATCGAACCCGCGACCATCGGACGTAAAGTGGTGTGCTAAACCGCTAGAGTCGTCGAGAGGTCGTCAAATATAGGTCCTTTTTTCCTAAAAATCGGGTTTTTCAGTTACGTGTAATTATAAATCAAACTTTGTTAAAAAATAGCCGAGTGTGAAATGTTTAAACTATTTATCTAATACTTATATCTTATCCATGATAAAATTTAATCGAATTTAATTACTTATTGCAGAAAAATGTCATAGTAGCATGTTTTTGCATAGAGAGGGTCATGCAGTCTTAAAGGGTCTCATAAAATGTTTGTGCGTAAAAAGAAGGTACCCAACACTTTTTAGAGATAAAAAGTAGCTATCTTAGGTGTTAATTCAGGCAATGGACTGTCTATGTACCAAAATGAATCAATAATGAAGTTATAAATATAATAGTTATAAAATTCATATACACATACTCGCACACACTCGCGCACTTAAAATATATAATCTGTATTTTTTGTTTCTGTATTTATTATTACCTTTTGTTATATATTATCGGAATTACTATTATATAAACGCAAAATTATTATCATCTGATGGCCGTAACAATGTAACTTGAACAGTTAAACTTGCTTTAACTTCTACGTTTCAGGCATAGTCTAGTGTGGAGTCATAGATAAAATGTTACGTTAAGTTTTCCGAAATAAGCATTATTCTGTTCTATTCAATCTATTCTAAAAATAAGACAAAATTAATGAGTAACAATTATTAAACAGTGATAAAAATATGACTAACAAGAGGCCAAAAGGTCCTGTCTTATTTTTTTGGTTTGAATCCAAATCCATTCAGCCATTTTCGCGTGTGTAATAAAGATTCAAACATAGAAACTTTCACATTTATAATAATAAGATTATCTTTATTTAATTTATTATTAAGTAATAAACCAATTAATGATCACACAATGAAACTGTAATAAATTGTTTTAGTAATTTAAATGTTGTCAAATTATCAACAGATGAGTACTATATAAGCGCGACTGTCCGATGTATAAACGTAAGTCAGTCCTGTATCACTATTCGGGTACTCACTGGGTGTCAGTGAGATCGTACCTACTATGATGTGAGTACTCACTGCTGTGACGTCACTGTGTCAGTGTCAGTCAGTTAGTAAATCATAGAGTATTTGAGAAGGTCCTAAAAAGCTAGCTAATACTAAACCATAGATATGATACATTATTTTTTCTTTTATCTAAAAAAGAACTGGGATTCTAATTTAGTTATTGCTTTAAATAATATATATCTACTCCTGAAACTAATCATCAATATCGATAATTTTTGATACAATTTTATAATTACAAAACAAACAACCAACTCTTTCTCTCCCCTGCTCTTTTACTTGCTGTGCTAAACAGGGTCCGTAATTGTCCTGCTGAATGTAAAGTTAACAACTACTTACTTTTATTTATAAATAAGTTAACTTCTGTATATTTGTGGTTTAAAATATGAGGAATAAATCAATTCATAATATAATTTGAAATATTTCTATTTGTGCATCACAATTTTATAGATTATTTTTTTATTTAAAAATATAATTTCACCGTATTTTTATATTTTATGTTAGAGCAAGTAAGTAGGTTAAAGATTGTTTGTTTGATTGCTAGCAAGTCAACTTCAGAGACCAATGGAGTTTAGCTCCAGATAAGTAAAAATTGTATTTGAAATACTTTTAGTAATAATGTTAATTTTATATCTTTACAGTTTCAAAATGACGTACATAATATTCCTACTTCCGGGGCTTGCTTTAGCGAACATCAACGTGCAAGTCTCCGGGAAGTTTAACCCTGAAGATTCGTCATTGATGACGGTCCTCACATCTGGAAAACAAGTGGGAATTATCACTGACACAGAGCGGAACACCTTCGAATTAAACGACAACAACCTTAAGAACAGCGTCAATTCTTACTTTGGTAAACGTCCCGATGACGCTTACCTTCGCAGTCCTACACCCTGGGGCGATTTATACAAGAGTTACGGCTGGGACCAGGTCAGGAGGACCTTGGTGCCGAGGAACGGCAAAATATTGAGAATCACATCCAAACCAGTTGTTGTTATGGAACAAGTCTTCGAGAATAACAGCACCAGACCCGCTCTCTTCAATGTGGGTATATCGCAAACTGTTGAAAACACCGTAACATCATCTTGGAGCAAAGGTGGGGCACTGTCTATAGGACAAGAGATCAGTTATGGCTTCGATATTGAAGTTGCTAGTGGAGGGGGCACCACTTCTCTTTCATACACTTCATCATGGGGAGAGAACACGGATAAATCAGAGAGTATTACTGTAGGAGCTTCATCAGCTATGGAGATCACATTGCAGCCTGGACAAGCGGTGATAGCTCAATTGCATGCGACTAGGGGCTCTATTGAGGTTGAAGTGGAGTATGAAGCTGCGTTATCTGGTGATACCGCAATCAACTACTCCAAAACTTATAAAGGACATCACTTCTGGGCACTAGGTATAAGAGATGTGATGTCCAGCGGAGGACTAAGCAACAAAAAGGAATCCAAAGAAGTTATCAGCATTGGATTCTATGCAAACTCAAAAGTTGTCGTACATGATAAGTCTGCTGGAAAGAGACTGATGGAATTACGATAATTTTGAATTATACGGATTTTAAATATAAAATTTAATTTAGTATTACATTTTATTGTTTTTTAAAACGAATTTATTTTATACAAGCTGTATTCTACCTATTTATTATGAATCACCAGGAAACTACATAAAATAAGATAAAAAGTATATCTCTGTATATTCTTTACCTCCCAGTAAATATTCAAATATTAAGAAAACACATTAAACATTAGAAATTGAAATAATCTTTATTCAAATAAACTTGATACTAACTCTTTTGAATAGTCATATTTTTTATTCTATCACTTATTCGGAACGCAGACTCATCCCAAGAGAGCAAGAAACTTGTGTGTTGAATAAATGTTATTTTAAATAAATAATTACACAAATATAAGTAAGAGGCATCCGATAATCATAATTAACTGCCATGTAACTGTATTTCATTATATTGTTATGGATAAAATGTATGTCGTACTGTGTTTGCGATGTATAATGATATAAAAATATTATGGACTGTTTGATATAGCTTTCATAAAATCAAGGAAAGTAGTCTTGTAGTGACACGTAATATTCAATATAAAAATATATTTATAAACTAGTTTCGACGTGGGACTGCTCCGCGTTTACTTTTAAAACTACTGAACAGTTTTGGTTGCAATTGAAATCTTAGCTAGTCAACTAACTAGATTCAGATAATGAATATCTCTTATGAGGAAATAATGTTCCACAATGACAAGTCTACGAGTACACCAAAAATTGTAATAAGTGGATTTCTTTCATCGGAATTGTTGGACTCATTTAGTTCGTGTTTTGATAATACTAAAGAAACTCAAATAAGTTTCAAGACGTGAAGTATCCTATGTATTAATAGTAATAGTATATATAACTAAGTGTCTATGCGCAAAATTACAGTCGTTCTTGTGTAAATTAGCGATACAAATAAAAAAAATATACCATTTATAATATATGACTAACCAATATATAACTTTAATTTGCATTAAACGAAACTGCTCTGCAACGATTATAATTTTTTTAACATATACTTGGCCACATTATTAGCAAGTTATATAGGATATATGACATATGGAGAGCTTTGTAAGATTACAACTAGACTTCTCTATATAATAAATAGTGTAAAATGAAGTCGCTTCTGCTGTCTGTTCGCTTAGATGTTTTAAACTACGCAACGAGCTTTGTAGTTTTCAGCAATAGATAGAGTGATTCAAGAAGAAGGTTTATGTTTTTTTCGTATGGGTGTACATGTATTACACCTGTGCGAGAAGTCGGGTATTAAATAAATTTAATTATTTTAGACATTTCTAATATTGTCTAATTTGCAACAAATACCTACAACATAATACCGACTATTCAATATATAAACGTAAGTCAGTCCTGTATCATCATTCGGGTTCTCGCTCGGTGTCAGTGAGATCGAATCTACAACAATGTGAGTACTCACTGCTGTGACGTCACTATGTCAGTGCCTGCCAGTTACAATAACGGCTACGTCATAAAAAATCAGCCTTACAATCAAAAGAAAGGCTAAAAATCAATTAATATATTGATTTAAAATATGAAAATGTTTATGAAACAATTCATATTTTTTAAATTTTATAATTTGTTTTTTTTTTATTTTTACAGGCTGAATATAATAACGTAGTTATTATGCAACGTTCAGTGTATTAATTTTACTTCAAAAACCAATGATAATCATCTACAGATTAGAAATCAAATTAGTATCAAAATATTGACTATTATATTTCTTTACAGTTTCAAAATGGCAGCGTACTTACTGCTCCTATTGCCGGGGCTTGCCTTAGCAAGCATTGACGTCCAAGTCTCCGGAAAGTTCAACGCTGACGATCCATCATCAATGAAGGTGTACACATCCGGCAACCAAGTCGGAATCATCACTGACACGGAGCGAAACACCTTTGGATTGAACGACAATAGTTTGAAAAACGCCGTCGACGCTTACTTCGGCAAACGCCCTGATGATGCGTACCTGCGCAGTCCTACACCTTGGGGTGATTTGTACAAGACTTACGGCTGGGACCAGGTCACCAGGACTCTGGTGCCGAGGAACGGCAAAATACTTGGTATCTCGTCTAAACCTACCATAGTTATGGAGCAGGTCTTCGAGAACAACAGCAGCAAACCAGCAGTCTTCAACGTGGGTATCTCCCAGACTGTTGAGAATACCGTAACCTCTTCGTGGAGCAAGGGTGGAGACCTGTCTATCGGACAAGAAATCAATTACGGTTTCGACATTGAAGTTGCCAATGGAGGAGGTACCACGTCGCTTTCATACACTTCCTCATGGGGAGAAAACACTGAAAAATCTGAGAGCATTACTGTTGGAGCTTCATCAGCTATGGAGATCACGTTGCAGCCTGGTCAGGCTGTGATCGCCCAACTGCAGGCGACCAGAGGCTCCATCCAAGTGGAGGTTGAGTATGATGCATCATTGGCAGGTCAAAGCGCAGTCAACTACGCCGATACCTATAAGGGACATCATTTCTGGGCTCTGGGCATCAGGAGCGTCATGTCCAGCGGTGGACTGAGCAACAGCAAGGTGTCAAAGGAAGTCATCAATATCGGTTTCTACTCGAACTCCAAGGTCGTAGTACACGATAAGACCCTTGGTAACAAAATCATGGAAGTGAGCTTTTAAATGTATGTAAAATAAAAATAAATTATGTTCTGTATTTTATATCGTTGTTTTTTTTTATTAAAGCAAATAATAAAAACCTTGGACTATTCACACAGCGCCATCTAGCGCCAAGCTAAGCAAAGCTTGACTTATGAGCACTAGACAATTAATAGAAATACTTAAATACATACATAATACACATAAGAAACACCCAGACTGATTCTAAACAATTATACTTACTCAGGAATACGAATGTTTGTAGCGTGTGAGGAATCGAACCAGTGACCATCGTAAGTAATGCGGTGTAAACACCACCGAGGCTATCCAATATTTCTCATATAAGCTTTTGCCCGTGGCTTCGCTCGCGTTCTTTATATTATTTTTAGAATCTCATTCCACTCTTTTTAAAGAGTACTGTAAATAGTACACCTAACTTATGTATACATATATATATATATAATGTATTTACAATATACCTAAGTATATCTATCAGTTGTCTAGTAATCAAACACAAGCTCAGCTTAGTTTGGGACTAGATGGCATTGTGTGAAATATACTTACATACAGTGATAATAATATAATAGTTTTAAAAATAATTTTGAGCTTACATTTCTTATTGGCTATTATTTACGACTTCATCTGTTAAAGATGTCTTCATCTGTTGGGATAAAAAGATAGAATAGGATCTGTTCAGCCGTTTAGTAGTGATAAGGTAACAAACGTACAGTCAAGCAGATAATAATATAACTAGCTGACCCCGCAAACGTTATTTTACCATTTACATTAAAATCGCTATTAAAAAATAGGAATTGGTTATAGAAGAGTGAAAAATTAGGGTATGTACCTATTTTTAAAAAAATTGGCTGAAAATTAAATGTTAGGGGTGGACAAACCTTACGACCTCGGTGGTCTAGCGGTCTAGCACACCGCTTTACGACCGATGGTCGCGGGTTCGATTCCTCGCACGGCACAAACATTTGTATCCATGAGTATGATTGTTTGTATCGGTCTGGGTGTTTTCTATGTATAATATGTATGTATTTACAAAAAAAAAATCTATGTATATGTATCAGTTGTCTAGTACCCATAACACAAGCTCTAGCTAGCTTAACTTGGGTCTAGATGGCGCTGTGTGAATTGTCCTGAAATTATTATTATTAATATTATCACTTAGGGCTATGAAAAATAGATAGTACCCGATTTCAGACTTACAGAATATGCATATAACATATCATAAAAATCGGTCAAGTCCTATCGAAGGAGTATGGTAACTAACACAATATTTTTCTTTGCAGTTCCGCTCCTATTGGTCGTAGCGTAATGTTATATAGCTTAAAGCCTTCCTCGATAAATGGACTATCCAATACATAAAAATTTTTAAATTCGAACCAGTAGTTCCTGAGATTAGCGGGTTCAAACAAACAAACTGCAATTATAATATTAGTAGATATAGATTAACTTTATTAGTGGAGTTTCAAACTTCACAGTTTGAAGCCTTAATAAGAACGGAAACATAATGTCTTGACATATAATTATTATAAGTCCAATATTAGAATTTTAACTTTTTCAATATACATAAGACATTTTAACATAGTAGGTATGTGTCAGCATTTTTAGGTGTAGGTGTTTTAGTTTGTAATTTGTTTTATGAAAGTGTCACAATTAATTAATAGGTGTACAATTACATAAATCAGCTTTATTTCATTATGATTTGATTGCATTCTTATTATATTTCAGACTAGCTGTACCCGCGACTTCGTCCGCGTGGAATTTAACTTTATTTTTCTAAAATAGAAGTAGCCTATGTTACTCCATATTACATCAGCTACCTGCCAAAAGTTCCGTAAAAACGGTCCAGCCATTTCAGAGATTAGCCGGAACAAACAGACAGACAGACAAAAATTGTAAAAATTGTTATTTTGGTGTATTTACCGTACACATCGTAAGCATGTAGTAAGAAACGGTTATTTCAATATTACAAACAGATAATCCAATTTTATTTATATGTTCTATAGGTACAAATAAATTTTGAGTATGTGGGTTAAGATTTGTTAATTATATGCCTATATAAATATTGCTTGAACTAGTAATTTTAAAATATTTATTAATTTTATTCACAATTGCACATTTAAAATTATTTCATCTTATACAACTACATATATTAATAATAATGTAATCTTATATATAAAATTCTCGTGTTACAATACTCCTCTGAAACTGCTTGACCGATTTTTATGAAATTTTATATGCATATTCAGTAGATCTGAGAATCGGCTACTATCTATATTTCATACCACTAAGTGATAAGGATTGTCCACCCCTAACATTATTTTTTTATTTTTCGTGCAATTTTTTCTATTATGTATCATTAAAAAATACAACCCTAAATTTTCACCCTTCTATCATCAACCCCTATTTTTTTTATAACGTTATTAATTTATATGGAAAAACGTTTGGCGTTTTAGACAAAAATTATAACATAGTTTTTATATTATACGTCATGCGACCTGTATGGTCGTTTCAATTTTATCTGGGCCTCTTTACCCCTTGGGATATTATCCGACAGATATAATCTTTCTTTATTGCCTACAAAGAAAGACTATTATCAGGATATTGGCCTTCTACACGCATGCAGAAGCTGACAAGAATGCAAGGTATAAGGTCTTCAAACTCTGTTGATATACAGGTACTTTAAACTTGATTCTGTTTTCTTCTTAGAAGTCATTACTGCTGGATTGGAATCTTGTTGGCCATTTCAATCCCATAAAAAACTTTATAATTTAAAAATATACAGGTAGTTTCATATTTTATTTGGTTTCTTTTTACTCCTTCTTAGAATATTATTCCACTGCCAGATTGGAATCTTTCTCTATAACACAGGTAATGGACCGTCAGCTTGTTTACCATTCATTTGGAATCATAAAAAAACTACTAAACTTTTTCACAAATATACAGGTTGTTTATATTTTTATCTGGATTCTCTTTACTCCATAGGATGTCATCCGACTGCCAGATCTAGTCTTTCTTTATTGCCTATAAAGAAATATTGTATAGGAGCAGAATATCCTTCTAAACACATTCAGAAGCTGGTAAGAATACAAGGTATGTTTCAAACTCAGTGTACAGGTCGTTTAAATTTTTATCTGGATTGTCTTCACTCCTTAGGATGCCATCCGACTGCCAGATAGTTTTTTTTATTGGTTATAAAGAAGGATGAGGATATTGGTCATCTAAACGCAAGCATAAGCCAGTCAGAAGGTAAGGTATAAGGTTTTCTTACAAGATAAAAACAACATCAGAATGTTCTTATTAAATTTAATTATTTACGTCATCTACAATATGAGTTATAAATAATACATAGGATTATGTAAGATGAGATACCAACACGATATTGTGTGGTAAATTTTACCACAATGATACGAAAATATAAATTATAACGAATTATTTATAAAAAAGAATTAAGTAACGTGGTAATTATACCAGCGTATTCAATAGCGCATTAACTATCAGTAATATACTGCAATTACACTAACTAGCATGTTACCGTGGGATACAAAAACTAACCGACGCAGTATACCGCTAGATAAACACGAATTTTACCTGTGGTATTTTGTTCCGTTACCGCTATAACAATATAAGGGCCATCCAATAATCACGTGATTTTTTTAGCATTTATAACCATCCCCCTCTTTTGGTAATACGTAGTAAGGTTAACATCAGAATATTAACCCCCCCACCCCCAAATCATGTGTATCTAGTATTATCTATTTAGTACCTACAAAGAATCTTAAAATTTTTACATATTTAAATACAGGTATGAATAATAATATACCTAGATAGTTCACACAGCGCCATCTAGTCCCAAGATAAGCAGAGCTTGTGTTATGGGTACTAGACAACTGATAGCTTACTTAGGTATATTTTATGTACATAGAAAACACCCTGAACGATACAAACAATCGTACTCATGAATACAATGTTTGTACCGTGCGAGGAATCGACCCACGACCATCGGATAGTAAAGCAGTGTGGTAAAGCACTAGACCACCGAGGCTGTCATAATAATGTATAATCTAATTTTATTCTAGAGAAATTAAGGTCACACTACACTAAGCGTTTCGTTTCATCAAAAATCATTTATTCATCGTCTCGTCATTTTTTTGGATCAATATTTTTTCCCTACTGTTTAGGAATCACGCGTTTGATTGAAAAATAACACATGTAATATCTTACTACACTCCTACATCCCCTATTTTTATCGACCCCCTCCCCTGTGGAGAAGGGGATTGTTAGTAATGTGGACTAATGATCCCAATGCCAGCAATGTACCCTGTCAGATCGACCTCCAAGCCGTTCCCCCTGGAAACCATCGTGATACATTCCCGGTGAATTTGTCACGTTGGGCTAACCGATCTGACCTCATGCTCATCTTATCATCCTCCACTGGTGCCCCGCCAGCGTAAACCGTTAGCGCAGGCGGGCGCACCATTCCATTATCATCCTTTAAAAAAAAAGACCCTCCCTATAGAGCCTCACGTGTTTAATGGACGGCCCCTGTGTCCAACCAGTGTGGTAATCTCTCTCATACTAATTACCACACCGGTTGGAATTACCACTAGCTCTGCTATCCTCACAACGGCGTGCCAAACGGAACTGTCTATGTAAAGCTATAATCACAAACACTTAATCTGTCTGTCTGTCATGAACAAGGCTCATATGAGTCCGTGACGTTTCTTGTACTCCTCCAAATTTAGGGACCGTTTCGGCCCAGTCTCTTTCACTTTTGTCGTCAGCTGCTTAGGTTGAGATGTCACCACTTCTGTAAAAAAATATGATACTATAATCGTATTTTTAATTAGACGAAGCTAACTGACAGTAACTAATGTCACTTTGTAAAATAATGTTGCCATATTTAAAGTAATTATAAAAAAATTACTTTAATTATGGAAATTTTGAATAGATGTTTTTTTTATATAAATAATTACAGTATAACAAGTAAGAGGCATGCGATAATCAACATAGAAATCGCTACGCACTCATTATTAGTGTAATCAGATAATATTGTCAGTGCTATGGATTTAAAGTTTTTCTATAAAAACATTATTATCGTTAACGAATTCTTCAATTTTATAGTAAGCTTTTTTGCAAAAGAACTGTTTTATTTGACATTTAAATCTTTTTTCTGGCAGATTAATAACCGACTCTGGTATTTTATTGTAACATCTTACGCAATTGCCATAAAACGAATTACTAACTTTAGCCAAACGACATTTAGGTAAAATCAGTTTGTTATTGTTACGTAAGCTTTTATTGGTGCAATCACTAACTCTTTTGAAACTGTCTATATTCTTCCTGGCATACATGATATTTTCATAAATGTATTGAGAAGCAACGGTAAGAATATTTGATTCCTTAAAGCACTCTCGCAATGACTCCCTTCACTACTAAAATTCTCTACAACCGAAACACATTTCACTAATCCGTTTGGCGGCTGAAATAGGTGAGATCGAGGTACTCAAACGACTTTATACAAAGCGTAGCGTCTTAAAGTGATAAGTATGTAATGTGTAAACTTACTAGGTACGGGTAAATCCAATTCTATATTGATGTCAAAATCGTGCAGTGAATATAAGCTGGCGTTGTCTGTTGAACTTGGCTTATCTTTATCCTTAATTTTTGTTTTATCTTCTTGTTCTTGCTGTAAAATAAGAAAAACATATATATAGAGTTCTTCTTTAATTTTTGGGCTATTGTCAGATGTTTTAGACATAGATCTATTGTGCTCGCCCTTTTTCAGAGTTCGCTACCTAGATCCATCAGGGACAAGAATTGAAGGATATTCTTAGGAGCGATTGTTTTTATCTCAAGATTGTGTGTACTTTCCAAAGGAGATATTTCGTTTATGCATGAGTGGGCTACAACCATATAGGATGTGTAATGGCGTAAGACTTCAGCTTTGCAAAATCTACTTAGATCTAGATAAAATATACTTTTATTTGCATTATTTAAAAGAGCAATACCCAAGTTTCTTGCTCTTTCTTCTTGTAACAAGACTGAATTCCGAATGAGTGGTAGAACTAAAAAATATGGCTATTTAAAAGTGTTCAGATTAATTCTTCTAATGGACATTACTCACTGCAACAAGTCTCTCCTTCTCCTGTCTCTCTTTAGCCATCCTCTCGTCTTTTTCTCTCTGTTTCTGCGCTTCCAATTCTGCTTCTTCATTCCTTAACAGTTCCTAAAAACAAGAATTATATTATAGCTTGAATCAAATCAAATTATCTTTATTCGTGTAGGTCAGTTTTGATAAGAAATGAGCTCGATCGATAAGCTGATCAAATGAGCTTGTAAAAACAAAAACAAACACCCAGACCGACACAAACAATCATACTCATGAATACAAATGTTTGTGCTGTGCGAGGAATCGAACCCGCGACCAACCCGCGACCATCTGAAATAGTAGAATTGATATTGCATAAATGTATTTCACTTAGCGGCTACCTACCTGCATTGCTAAACCACCGAGGTCGTCAAATATATAATAAAGATTTAATTAATAATTTGATGTTTTATAATTACAGTGGACCCCCGGTAGTCCGACAATCATTTTGCAGGGCAGTGTCGGACCACCGAATTTGTTAGATTATAGACTACTGTCTAAGAGGGGGACCCTATTGTCCAGAATTTTTTACAAAAGAGTACCTTATAATACGACAAATTATAGATCCAGTGATGATTCTTTATATTATATACATATACAGTGGACCCCCGGTTATCCGACAAACGTTTTGCAGAACAGTGTCGGACCTTCGTATTTGTCGGATTATAGAGTGCTGCTTAAGGGTCCTCTGCTTATATTCCGGAATTGTTTACAAAAGAGTATCTTGTCATCCGACAAATTACAGATCCAGTGATAAGATTCTATGTTATATATGTATGTATGTATATGCACTCTGAAGTATATTGTCAAAGTAATATTCAATAACAAATAATAGACAATGTCGGATTACAAGGGGGGCCGGATTACCGCGGGTCCACTGTATTTGCAACGAAGAAATCCACGCAACTCGTTGAGATTCACACAGTGAATACTAACCTGGCTCCTGTTGCCCTGGTGTGATTTGAAATTCATAACCGGCTTCGTGTGCCGCCTGGTGAACGGGTCGTCAGTCTTTTTACCTTTGTTAGCTTTAACCTGTCGAGTAAAAGGAATTTTTTTTTTCTTATCATTTTTTACTTTAGTTTTTTTTATTTTTATTTATTTTATACAGTTGCCTATAAGACTATATGAAAATTTGCCACGCACATGTATATTGTAGAATCACTGTTTAAATCATCATTAGATGACGCTGTTCAATTTGTGATATGTTTTCGTTTTGTAGTTACTGAGGAGTTGTAAGAATTATTATTAGTTGGAAGCTTTTGATCTGTGTACATATTGTTTTTCTTATTGTGGTAATTACTTTTGTCGTATTCTTCTGGCTTTGAAATGTACTTGTGAAGGAACGGCTAGTGTATAATCACCTTCCAGCAATGGTATTTTCCATAAGATATTGAAACCTTCAAGAAAGGAACTGATTCCTTCTTAAAAGGCTGGCCAACGCACTTACAATTCAGGAATTCAGGGGATTCCAGGAATCCAGGGGAATCCAGGAATCCAGGGGAATCCAGGAATCCAGGAATACAGGGGAATCCAGGAATACAGGGGAATCCAGGAATCCAGGGAAATCCAGGAATCCAGGGGAATTGTAAGTGCGTGCGTACTTACAATTCCCCTGGTGAAGGTGTGTGTAGGTTTTAATTCGGCCGAGTTATACTGTGTCATGCGTTTTAGTTCTCCAATCTTGCAGAAAATATTATGTTGAAAAAAGTATATGTTTTTATTGAAATTACGAGTTGTATAAAAAGTTTTGTTGTAGTTATGGATTTTGTATAAATATACATAGGTATGGATATGTCTAGTAAGACTTTATAAATTAAATACAAACTTCGCGTTCGGCTATATATGTAACAAAACGCCAAAGTTTAGTGTTGCCAGAGAGAACCAAGCATTACATATCTTACTTTCTTAAGCAAATTTTTAAGCATTTGCTCAAGTAAGTAATGTGTATTTCTCGTCTATAAAACATAATATCATTGGTAAGAGTTCTATTAGAAGTGATCAAGTAACAAGTAATTACTCGTTTATAAATACGAGTGGAAGTGCTTAACAAGTGATACAGTGCAAGAAACACATCCTATGGACCCTGATACGTGCTGGAGAACATTGCAACCCTTGGAGCATCGAAAGCCACGACTGACCTATACAACCTTACACACTTCCACTTTATCCCTATTTTTTTTACCTACATAGATCTACTGACTTTATCCCTAACACCTATACTTTTTTTAAAGAGATCTATTTACCTCTTCCATGATGGCCTTCTCAGCAGTCTCGACGTTGAGTTTCCTATTTCTATTGTTAATGTACGAAATACTTTGTATTGAGGATGTCCTCGTCTTGTCCAGTTGGTTGGCACGGTCTTCCAGCTCTTGGATCTTCGCATTCAAATCCATGACAAGTTCATCGTCGCCTCTAAAATAAAATTCATTGGTTATTTGACGGCCTCGGTGGTCTAGCGGTTTGGCACACCGCCTTATTATGGTCGCGGGTTCGATTTCTCCCACGGTACACATATGTATTCATGAGTATGATTGTTTGTATCGATCTGGGTGTTTTCGTTTTCGATGTATAATATGTATGTATTTAGAAAACAAAAACTGTATTTGTATCAGTTATCTAGTATCCACCACAACACAAACTTTAGCTAGGTTAAATTGGGACTGGATGGCGCTGTGTGTAGTGTCCTAAGATTATTATTATTATTATTTACTTATTCGACATGCTTTATTAGAATAGAATAGAAAATTCTTCATTCAAATAAACTTACATTTAAGCACTTAAATTTGAATCAATTTGAAAATTGACTATCAGTTCCATTTTTTTTAATCTACGCCTCATTCAGAAAGCTATCATAACACGCAATTTTCTCGCTTGTTCTTCTCATTACAAGAAGAACGAGCAAGAAACTTGCGCGTTGCTCTTTTTTAGTTTCGTGTGTCGTTACGTTAGCTGAGGTCTTCGTAGATACGAAAAACAACTATTTAATGTACCCTCTATGTATACATTTTTTAACATATTGGCTGAAGGGTGTGGTGTATCGGCGCTACCGTGGCAGATAACACCGTCAGTGCCGTAATTACACAGACAATTTCAATATCTAAATTTTACATTATTTCATATGTATGTTAGTCTATAAGGTATTTATAATATGGGCCTAGTGGCCTGAAATAAATAAATATACAAAAAGCTGATATAACATACCTGAGTTGTGCCACATCCCTCTCTTTCATCAGCTGTGTTTTCTTCATGGCATAATTGGTTGGGTACGCTCTAAACCTCTCCTTCTCTGCTACCATTTTCTCTATATCTTCTTCCTGCACACAAATGCAATAATCTTACCTACACTGCTATAAAAAAATATATATATAATAATCACACTTTATTGAATGAATTGATTTCAATGCAATTATATTTACATATACATCATATTCTGTTTTAACACATAGTACATTTTAAAATATATATGTTATCAATTTATAATGCAAAATAGATCTACGTATGTCGCAGTGCTGTATGTCCAAGCACCTGACAATAGTCCAAACACTAATATATCAATTTCTTTTATTTTATTACCATCTTTTTTCTCAATTAACGCAAAAGATTTGGTTAAAAATACCTTTGTGACATATTGATTTTCTGCTTTTAACTGAATTTCCGATATCTTATATATAAAAATTACGTGTAACATTGTTTGTCCGTGATGGACTTCTGAACTACTGAACAGATTGCAAATTTGATTTGCACATTGTGTGCAATTTGATCCAACTTCAAAGATAGGATAGCTTACATCACAATTTATGGTCGCAATATTATTTTATTCAAGAACCTTAGCCACAGAAACCTGTCTACCAGTATTAAATAGACATACACTACTTGAACTCTTTATATATATATATATATATATATATATATATATTTTAATATTGAAACTTAAAACAGTTAGATTTTATAGTTTCAATATATAATTCTACTTATGGAGACTGGTCTGTTTGGGTTACGAACACTGACTATTAAACTTAGTGTTCATAACCCGTAAATAGTAAAATGAATCTGTATTATTGTAACATTTATTTGAAAAGAATACGAGCTGAGTTTCTTGTCAGTTCTTCTCATCTCGAAATCATTCCGAACTGATGGTGGATTTGATATATCATAAGAGTCTGTAATAGACCTACATGAATAAAGATATTTTGAATTTAAATTTAAAATTTGATTTGATCAGTCATGTACACAGACAAAATACATACCTTAAACTCATACATAAGTGCTTCCTTTACATCACTAATCTTATTTCTAACGAAGTCCATTGTGGGTGGTTTCTTATTGGCCTCTTTTATAGCTTTATGCCATTTTTGAAACTCGCTGTCTGTGAATTCCTAAAAAAAAATTTGCTACATTATTTACTGTAAATACAAATGTATTATTTTTTGTTATATATTACTATTATCATCATATAGGACAATTATCACAGCGTCATCTAGACCCAAGTTAAGTAAGCTAGAGCTTGTGTTATGGGTACTAGACAACGGATACAAATATATAGATATATATTTTCTTAAATACATACATATTATACATAGAAAACACCCAGACCGATACAATCATATTTATGAATACAAAGGTCAGTACCGGAATCGAACCCGCGACAATCGGAAGTAAGGTGGTGTGCTACATCGCTAGACCACCAAGGCCGTCGAATAATATCGTATTACTGTTAGTTAGTCCTAATAATAAAAAAAATGCTACCTAGATACTTCTTACACATAAATACACATTTGAGCGTGGTTCAAAAGTTTCTAACAGTATATTTACCTGATTACTAACAAATTCCAGTCTGAACACCCGGTCCTGGGTGCCGTGTCGCAGCTTGAGACCCTTGTTTGTTCTCGTACTGCCCAAGTTATACACTTTTGCCGTTTCGTACACGTCGATTATTTCTGCAACCTGCGGCAAAGTTATATCATTACTAGATGATCAGCAAACGTTATTTATTTATGTAAACCTACATCAGTGTACGGTTTGATGCAGTCCTGACTCCCAAACTAGCGTGAACTGTATACCAGGAGTCAGTTTCTTCCCAAAACATTTTTTTTTGGTATTTAGGTATATGCAATCAGTACTGGTACTATAAGCAGGTGAGTTGTTAGAAGCAGGCGACGGAGGAACTCTATCCTTTGACAAGGTCCCCATGTTTCAGCTAGCTAGAAATCCTTCATCCAGCTCAAGGATATTTGATCTTTTTACCCTTTTTGCTGGGTTGTTGACTAGAAGCTTCTGAGCTAATTCGTTTGGGTGAATAGTAAGGTATTTGTATCAGTTATCGTATATAGCTTAACTTGGGACTAGATGGCGCTGTGTGAATTGTCCTGAGATTATTATTTTATGTGCTTGCGATATGATATAACAATATGAATATTCCCCGAATCCCAGAATTTGTTTTTTAAGTAAGCTATTTACGCCTTAGGGAGTAACCAAAACCAAAGCAAGGACTTATGGAGCGGCTGAAGGTCAACTCTCGTCTGACGGATACGACTTTAGTCTGAGGGCCCCGCTAGGGATTCCAAGCTCGGCTCAGGCCGTCGTAATTTCGACCCCCGTTTGAATTGGACGAGGGATCGATCGGAGGGGTAGTAAAATGTAAAATTGGTAACTGTCACCCGCACCATACTACAGCGCACACAGTATAAACAGCTCTACCTACTTCGATCAGTGGTAATGCGGTACTCACCCTATACACTGGATTTCCATTGTTGTTCCCTATCCCGATCCTCACGTAACACCCGGTGACGACACGAGCGAAGAACGGCAAGTGTACCAGCCGCTCTAGTTTGAACCTGGACAATAATTATTTATTTATTAAAACAAGATGATCCATTAGTGTAATTAACAGACACGAGCGAAGAACGGTTGTGATCGGCGTAATATGTTTCTCTCCCATTCATCCCTGTTCACAGTCATCTCATTATTTACTTACTTTCTTACCACATTATCTTTCACACAGTTTATCCATTTATTTTTCGACCTTCCTCTGACCTTATAAGCATCCACATTCTTATGTATGTAAGAAGCACTTATAGATGATGACGATTAGGCTTTGAAGCCGGCTACCGCAAGGGAAACCCCAAGTAGCGCCCGTGACTTGTGACACGAGTGTAGAATAGAAAATCATTTATTCAAATAAACTTAATTTAAGCACTTTTGAATAGTCATAACAATTTGTTTTTTATCTACCACTCGTTCGGAAAGCTGTCTCATCACAAGAAGAACGAGCAAGAAACTTGTGTGTTGCTCTTTTAAATAATCCTTGTAAGTTTACATTTATAAGTTGAAACGTGTGAATACAAACTACCAACCAGCATAAATTTTTTGGGTCAAATATAAATATGCAGTAAGATTAAATCAGTCGTAGTGATAAGAGCAGATCAGTCCTTCCCAGCAAGCAGCACGAGTTTGACGGATGAGCCAGTCATCACTGCGCTCGACCATATTTATAGGAGTCAATGAGTAGGGCCCACCACGCCGCCACATGTAGTGGACATTTTACAGTGAGCATGACTACTCATTCCACACGACCACTTTTCAATATCAAAAATTACTATATGCTTTATAGTCTTAAATAACCAATAGATTAACAATAGAACAGAGAAACAGTGTCAAACAGTTATTTCACACATTTTAAACACATGACGACCTCGGTGGTCTATCGGTTTAGCACATCGCTTTACCTCCAATGGTCGCGGGTTCGATTCCTCGCACGGTGCAAACATTTGTACTCATGACTATGATTGTGTGTATCGGTCTGACTGTTTTCTATGTATGTTATGTATTTACAATAAAAAATATCTAAGTATTTATATCAGTTGTCTAGTACCCATAACACTAGATCATACCATGGGACTAGATGGCGCTGTGTTAATTGTCCAGGATTATTTATATATATACCACATACCTGCTTAACCTAAGTTTGTTTATCTGCTCCCGTGTGTCCGCATATTTGATTTCAACTTCTTCACGTTTCTTTTCCTCTTCTTCTCCGCCCGACGAGGAAGAACTTGTTGAACTGCGGCGGCCTGTAATTTAGATCCGTGATTAGACGTGCATGGATATGAGAGAGATAGAGATAGACGATTCAAGTACTTCAATTTGAACATGAGACTAAGCAAGTGTAAAGATTCCCTCTAATATTATTGTATGTGTGTATGTGTTTAGTTAGGTAGTACAGGGAGCCTTTATCGTGGTGTAGCCACGATAAAGGCCACGCTCATCTATACTTATTAATAAAATTGGAGTGTCTGTATGTAATATTGAAATAACCGTTTATTACTACATGTATATGAATATAAATACGGTACATACACCGAAATAACATTATTTACAATTTTTGTCTGTATGTTTGTTTGTTCCGGCTAATCTCTGAAACGGCTGGACCAATTTTAATGGGACTTTTATTCGCAGGTAGCTGATGTAATAAGGAGTAACTTAAGCTACTTTTTTTTTAGAAAAATGAAGTTATATTATCGCGGATGAAGTCGCGGGTACAGCTCGTAGCATATAATATTAATGAGTGAATATGTAGAAAAATAAAGGTATAATAATTATTATTCACCTTGAGATTTGTTGTCCTCTGAATCTGATCCGGAATCGTCCGAGTATATATCGGATGCTTTCAACTTGACGCTCTGTTTGCTGGTGCCACCAATGATTTCTGCATCTGCGTCCTGTAATCAAAAGACATACACAAAAAACTATTATACAAACAGACAGATAGATATTTATATATTACTAGCTGTCCCGGAAAACGTTGTTTTGCCTTAAAATAAAAAAAAATTTAGGCGTGGACTACCCCTAACATTTGGGGGGATAAAAAATAGATGTTGGCCGATTTTTAGACCTACTCAATACGCTCAAAAAATTTCATGAGAATCGGTCAAGCCGTTTCGGAGGAGTATGGGAGCGAAAACTGTGACACGAGAATTTTATATATAAGATTGACGGCTTCGGTGATCTAGCGGTCTCACACCGCTTCACTTCCTATGGTCGCGGGTTCGATACCTTGCACGGTACAAACATTTGTATTCATGAGTATGATTGTCTAGTACCCATAAAACAAGCTCTGCTTAGCTTGAGTAGTCCCAAGCTCTCCAAAGCTCCCAACCTCAGGACAGTTCACGCAGCGCCATTACTAGATGGCGCTGCGTGAACTGTGTATCATTATTATTATATTATTGTATACGTAATTTATTTATATATTATATGTGGATATATTTTATATATTACTGTTATTATTTATGTATATTTCACTCCATCATGCGCCATCCACCACCTTCTGTCTTTTCTCCTCTACCCAAAGGTTGTCTGGCAGAGATCTCTAAAGAGATAAAAACCGAAATATTCTCCATACAGTGTTCCTATACACTTACATCGTCGTCCTCCTTGTCCTTGTTCTTCTCCTCCTCGAGGCGCCTCCGCTGTCGGTTGTGCTCGTCCCTGGTAGCCCTGGAGTGACTACTCTCGTAGGGCTGTTTGTTTGTTTGCACTTACATCGTCGTCCTCCTTGTCCTTGTTCTTCTCCTCCTCGAGGCGCCTCCGCTGTCGGTTGTGCTCGTCCCTGGTAGCCCTGGAGTGACATTACTCTCGTAGGGCTGTCACCTATAGTGTTTGTATGCACTTACGTCGTCATCCTCCTTGTCCTTGTTCTTCTCCTCCTCGAGGCGCCTCCGCTGTCGGTTGTGCTCGTCCCTGGTAGCCCTGGAGTGACATTACTCTCGTAGGGCTGTCACCTATAGTGTTTGTATGCACTTACATCGTCGTCCTCCTTGTCCTTGTTCTTCTCCTCCTCGAGGCGCCTCCGCTGTCGGTTGTGCTCGTCCCTGGTAGCCCTGGAGTGACATTACTCTCGTAGGGCTGTCGTGTTTGTGCTTACATCGTCGTCCTCCTTGTCCTTGTTCTTCTCCTCCTCGAGGCGCCTCCGCTGTCGGTTGTGCTCGTCCCTGGTAGCCCTGGCGTCACGTTGCGCTCGTAGGGCTGCCATAGCGTTCTGCCGTCGATCGTCCACGTTCCTTTTTCGTTCTGTCTTCGCACCGAAGAGCGGACTCGCCGCGCGTTCTGACGACTCTGGATTAGAGAAAGTTGTAGTTATAATCTTACTAATATCTATTATAAATTTTACGGCTTTGGTGGTCTAGCGGATTACATCGCCTTACATCCTATGGTCTCGGGTTCGATTCCTTGCATGTAACAAACATGAGGTGTAATAATTGTGTTTGATTGTATTTTATTATCACCCGTTCTGTCATAGCTTATCAAAAAAGTTACTTATATGTGGAGTACATAAACATCAGTATAACAATATGATTATTAATGTAAAACTCTTTTAATCCATAATATTGTGAGTGTTTGTATTGATCTGGATGTTATATATGTACATAATGTATATATTTATTAGTATATTGAAGTATATCTATCAGTTGTCTAATACCCATAACACTAGATCTATTTAACTTGAGACTAGATGGCGCTGTGTGAATTGTCCAGGATTATTATTATTATACACTCCTCCTTATAACTTTGTGGAATCATGCCTTTATGGGTAAATTAGTTTTACCATATACCATAGAGACTCTTGCCAGTTCTTAACGTAGCTAAACTGGATGGTAAATATAAAATATTGACATTCACAAGTGAAATATGTCCTATATAAATAAATTAACTCAAGCACATGTTTGTCGATCACATATCAATTTAAAAAATATAAATTATATTATATATAAATAAATAATATAATTAAAAATAAGACACCCATTCGTCTATGAGTAATCTTATGATGCACTGCATTATGTTCCTTCTGCATTTGTAGATGGGTCTCTTACACCACTATATATTTTCTCTTCTCTGTCTCGTTCTCTTTTTGTATATTCTTATTTTATTTCCGAATTTATACCTAATTTTGATATGAAGTAATTTTTAATTTAAATATGTCTTTTTATATATTATTATGTAGTATATATTATTTCAGGATATCACCTAAAATACTGCTTCAATACTTATATATACACATATATATAAAACTCCAGAAATTTCTCAAAATTATGTTTAAGCAAGTTAAAAACCATTATCTTAAAATATTTTTTGGTGCTTTTTGTTTTTTTTTTAGTGTTTTTTCTCTATGTATTGTATTTATTAATTTATTGTTATATAAATCACGTCAAGGTTGAAATGACAACAATAAATAAATAAATATATGTTTTAAAAATGTCTGTATGATTTGATTTGATTTTTTTTATATTTTTCCTCAATTTCTCCATCTCTCGTACCCTTACACTTGTTATATTGAAACTCCTCCAAGCTTATTCTTCACCATGGTTACCTGCATCTTTAGCATCGTCGAGAATTTCTCCGGGACTGGGTGGTGTATTGTCTTTCTCTACTTCCGGCTCTTTAGGCTGGTCATCCTCAGTTTCTATATAGGGAAAGTCTTTTTCGTTTAATAACTTTATATATATAATACTTATATTTAAAACCAAGTAGATTTAATAACTAAAAAAAAGGGTAAGCCGACTATTGTCCATTAAAATGTAAAATATAATTGAAACAAAAAATATAAATAAAGTATGTTTTTCAATGGCAAATTACCAGACTGCTAGTCATGGCAATCGCCTATACACATGATCAGCATCGACTTCAATAAATACATTGACGCGCTGCTATTCCTGAGTTAGCTTCACAGAACAGAGAAGTAAGTAGAGGTTCACAGAACAAAGTAAGTAGAAGTAATAAGTGGGCGTAACCCATAAGTATGCAATCATACATACTTAGATTTGCGTGTCAGTCTGTGAGGCGTAGCTATATTTCGAGGCAGTTAAGTGTTACATTTGAGTAAATTTATATTAATACAAGCTGTACCCGCGACATCCCGCGGCTTCGTCCGCGTGTTATTGACCTTGACCAAATAATGAAAAAATATTCCTATTCTCGCAAAATTGGTATTCAAAATCAGACTTATTGTAATATACAAGTACTTTTGAAAACAATAAGAACTGAGTTTCTTGTCAATTCTTAGCTCAAAAGCACTGAACTGACGGCAAATTTGATATATCAAGAGAGTCTGGATTAGACCTACATGAATAAAGATATTTTAATTTGATTTTGATTTCAAAACTCTCGTCTTTGATGAGGCGAGAGTATATATATATGAGTAATTTCTTATAAATTCATTATTATACAGGGTGTAACTGAAAGGGTCAAGCCAAAGGGATCAGATACAGCTAGTTATTTAAAACCTATCTATTTTATCTATTATTATATATCTACTTACTCCTTTGTTCTGTGGTTTTCTTAACAAGCCTTCTTACCCTGTAATTCCACTACCATATCTCACTCAAGCGAAACACAAACTTACAAAGCTGCAGCCAACTTTCAAGATATAACTCTGGTATAACATTAAAACTGATTATAATAAAATTACCACGTTTCTCCAGTCGTTGCCTCTCCTTCTCCTTCTCCCGTTGGCGGGAGTCGCGCATGGCTTTCCTGCGTTTCCTTGCGTCTCGTCTCCGTGCGATCTCCCCTGGTGAAGCAGAACGTTCCGCGGCTGTACGTTTCGCGAGACGCAGCTTCCGTTCTATCTCCCATCTGAAAGTGGAAGCATTTTTTTTCTTGCCAGTTCTCAATTGAATCGGTATATTAAACTGCAGATGTTAACTTTAAACTATGTTTCAATAATTGGACTATATTTCCAATATTATAATAATATCTTACGATTCTTCACACAGCGCCATCTAGTCGCAAGGTAAGCAGAGCTTGTGTTGTGAGTATGTACTAGACAATTGTTATAAATACATAGATACATTTTTTTGTAAATTTTGTAAATACATACATCTATTTCTATTTCAATACACATAGAAAACACCCAGACCGATTCAGACACACAACATGAATACAAATGTTTGTACCGTGCGAAGAATCGAACCCGCAACCATCAGACGTAAAGCGGTGTGCGAAACCGCTAGACCACCGAGGTCATCAAAATATCATCGAAATGTCGTCGAATTATTCCCGTGAATTATGAATAAACAGACAAAACCAGGTAACCAGGTAAGAGCTAGTTTGTATAATATACCTGGTCTTCAGCAGATCCCTCCTCTCGATTCTTTTGAATATCTCCTGCTCCCTCTCCTTTTCAGACATGGCCGCCAGACGTTTTCTGTCTTCTTCATCACCCATGAGATTCTCATCATAGCTGAAGAACATGAAATAAAAATATTAACCGTTTTTTTTTATTTGAATGGCTAATACTGTCGTTTGATGGTAAGTGGCAACTGTCTCTTTCATACATGAACAGCAGAGATATACTACAGCTGGCTACATTACTTGAGAAGAATGGACACGACGTGGAAAGGTGATTGTTAGTAATGTGGATTGATGACCCCATTACTAGCAATGTATCATATCAGGTTGACCTCCACGCGGTTCCCTCTGGAAACCATTATGATAAATTCCTGATGAATTTGCATTATGGGCTAACTGACCTGAACTCATGTTCATCTTATCATCGTCCACTGGTGCCCCGCCAGCGCAGGCGGGTGAATCATTCCATTATCATACACTAAAAAAATTGTATAAGAAACTCAACTGCGCGTATCTTTATTTAAATAATTTAATATATACTATTTTAAATTTGATGCGGCCATTATTTATACTTATGTATAAATATAAATTAGGAAAAATCAATAGTAGTAACAAAACGAAGACGTTTGAAGGTAGACGAATATGTCTGCCCATAAAAGATTTTATTTACGTTTTTATATTTTTATTTACGTTTGTACGTAAAACTCTAATATATGAATTCAAATTCAAATTCAAAAATCATTTATTCAAGTTTTTACATTATATTTTTTTTCCCTACCGTCCAGTTCTGTATATAGATCCAATTGAGAAGAACTGCCAAGAAACTCAATTGAATTACTTTTTTTAAATCCATTTTATTTACAATGCATAGGTATTTATATAGGTGTCTACGTCTAACATTAAATGAAAATCCCGAACATGAAAACTATTGCCATGCACGCTCGTCATTCAAGTAATCGTTTAGTGAGTTTAACGTGTTAAGTATATTTGATAATAATAAAAAACATATTTACCCGTCATTAAACTCTTCTTCAGAATCAAGGGAGTCATTGTCGGATGAATGTGACGACACTTCACCTGTTAATAAAACAAAAAAATATATATTTTTATATACTACTGTATATATTGTTATAGTTCTAGGACTAATTGCAGATAGGAAGAGAAAAGAAGAAGAAAAAATATACTACTGTGGTGACAAACAAGCATACGGCACATCTGATGGTAAATGGTTACTGTAGCCTATGGACGCTTGAGACATCAGGGTTGTCACGTGCGCGTTGCTGACCCTTAAGAAACCTTAATATACACTTCTTGAAAAACCCCATGCTGTAGTCTCGTGAGAAAACCTCGGCAGGTAGTTCATTCCACAATCTAAGTGTACGCTGGAGGAAACTCCTCCGAGACCACATAGGTTCTAGCGTGTGGGGATGAATTACCGGTCGATGGCGAGCGGTGCGATCGTAAAAATTATTGGGCATCATTGTAGAACAACTCCTCAGAATACAGTCCGTTATATATTCGGTAGAAAACACAAAGCGAAGCGGAGTCTAATTTTTATGTAACTAGTCTAGAAAACATGCTGACGGCCCATCTTGTGAAGAAATGGCAATGATTGTTAACCACGATGAGAGTTTCAAGACGTTTGTGGCACGGGTCCCCACCAATATGCTGCCCACCTTCATGACGGAGGACTACTGGCCGAAGGGGGTTTGCCACCAGTTGTAGTATAATAAAACAAATTAAAACTTTTTCCGGACTACTTTAATCTGTTGGCCGCAGCTGGCCTTTACAACTTTATCAAACGATAGGGGGCGAGTGCAGATGGCACTCAAAACCAAAGGAAGGACTTATGGAGCGGCTGAAAGCCAACTCCCACCTGATACGATTCTAGTCTGAAGTCACCATTAGGTTCCCATCTCGGCTCAAGCTGTAATGCACAACCACATTGAGGAATCACCTTCCAGCAATGGTATTTCCGAACCGATACGATATTGAAACCTTCAAGAAAAGAGCTTATTCTTTTTTAAAAGGCCGACAACGTACTTGTAATTCCCCTGGTGTTGCGGGTGCTCATGGGCGGCGGTAATCACTTACCATCAGGTGAGCCGATGGTCGTTTGTCCCCTGCGTTATAAAAAAAAAACCGATCCCCGTTTGAATTGGACGTGTATCGATTGGTGGTGTGACGGTGCTACCGTGGCAGATTATCGTGATCTTCTTACTACTCCACAACTTGTAATTTCAGAGAATAAATTTGCAACAACTTCTTACCTTCTTCAGGCTCACTATACACATCTTTCTTCTTTCCTGATCCAGCACTATCTGTACTCTGTCTCAGTTCACTCTTCTTAGGTTCTGGTTTCTTTCTTGCGTCATCTGAATGTTCTGATGATGCCTTCCTACTGCTTCTTGATTGACCTGTTGATTTTTTACTCGACGCGTTACTGCCGGCGTCACTTTCGGACCCTGAGCTGGATGATGATGATGATTTGGCTGTAAAATAATGGATCGTTTAATAATTGTAATTATTACATGTAATTTTTTTGGGCGACACAAAAATATAGCATATTGCTGGTATAATTAGGAACTAAATAAACAATAAATACTAAATTCTTTCTTTCTTTCTAAATATATATTTATTAATATTTTCTGATAATGTGTGTGACCTTGAATTGAATTGAATTATAATCTAAAAACTTGACGTTCATAAGCGGCTAAAATGTCCTACATGAATAAATGATTTTTGAATTTGAATTTGACCTATCTACTTAAATCTCATTTACAATAATAAAGTGTGGAAAAGATGTGTCATTACCACTTACCATCAGAGCCTACCTGATGGCATTGTCATTCCAGTTAAACAAAAAATAATAATAACAACCCTGAACAATTCACACACTACCATCTAGTCCCAAGTTAAGCAAATCTTTAGTTATGGGTACTGGACAACTTATAGAATTACTTAAATATACTGCTTTTTGTAAATATATACATAACCTATATAAAAAAACTCTCAAATAAATAATAATAATTATGTGTGAGGAATCGAACTAATAATCATTGGAAGAAAGTGTTCTAAACAACTAGGCCAGTGAGTCCCAAAGTGGTCTATATCAACCCCCAGGGTTCTATGACAAACTGCAAGGGGTCTATGACAGCGGTCATCTTGTTGTTTTTACATTATGTTTTTATCACTAAACTTTACTACAGTTAGAAATAGGTAAGATTGGGGGGTCTATCCAAAACCGAAACATACAGCAAGGGGTCCACGACACAAAAAAGTTTGGGAACCTCTGAACTACACAATGGAGTCCATAACATTGGAAATAACTACAGAATACTCACATTTCTTTTTATTATCATCATCATCCCATTCAGATTCACTGTCCGATGACTGTCCCTTAGATTTGGAAGGTGGTGGTGAATCACCTTTCTTTTTCTTCTTTGCCAAGTTCAGGAATTGCTGGAATTAAAAACAATATAAGTCAATTTCGTATAAGCATTTACTGATGATAATTTAACACCCAGATGTGGCAACAAATTCAAATTCTAAATATCTTTATTCATGTAGGTCCATTATAGACACTTGTGACAAGTTTAATTCTATTAATTATAATTAATCTATGGTGTATGAATGTGATAGTGTAATAATTACACTATTACTTTGAGAATATCTTAAATTCAAATACAAAAATAATTTATTCATGTAGGACATTTTAGGCACTTATGAACATCAAATTTTTTATATAATAAATATTTTCCCTAACATCCAGTATATAGATCCAATTGAAAAGAACTGGCAAGAAACCCAATTGATTTTTTTTAAGTCAATTTATTTACCATGTGTATATATAGGTGTCTATGTCTAACCTTCCCGTGCATGAACAACTATTGCCATGCATACTTGTCTTAGCTCAACATAACTAATATATTGAGAAACTTTATTATAGATTATCATAACCTAATACTGTATACTCTATAAATCTTTGCCTTGCTATATACCTATGGAATATTTAAAAAAAATATATTCTATATTCAAATAATAAAATACAGAAATAGGCCACATTTTGGTGAATGCTCAACTATCCAAACTGAGAATAATTTGGGAAGTGTGACAAAAATAAACATTATTGGAAAATTTACTTTAAAGATTACATCTTAAAGTTGATTTTCAATTCACAATTTTTAAAGTTAATACAATTCATTTTTAAATATACCATATATCAATTTTTATAGATTCTTTTACTTATATATGTAGACGTTGTAACTATTCCCATAGGATATAAAGTATAAAAAAAAACAAATAAATATACAATTTTGTATAATAACTACAAGTAAATATACAAACTCATTTTGAGTATTACAAACAAAACATACAGAGATTAAAAGAAGGATGTATATGTTCATAGCAGCTGCATCTACTGAAAAGACAAAGGAAAAAGAGAAAGTTTACACCCCAAGTTATATAATATAAGTATTGTTAACATAAAAACATGTTGATTATCTAACATAACAGGTTTCTTTGTTAGATTAATCAAAGGGACATGAATCATGTATCATAACAAATCAATATCTATCCATTTATCAAATATCAATATCTATAACATATTTTGATGCTCATTTTAGATCAAAATTACATGACTCACGCGTTTCATGTCATTTTACTTAAGATTTGAAACGTAAATATTGAAAATGCTGTAGCATATACCAATAACGTTTGAATTAAGAATTTAGAAGCTAAACTGGCAGTGTACAATTGAATATTTCAATAAATGCGCATTAGACGGATATAGAAGTGTGAAGCATTGATCTTGGCCTTAATAAGCATGTAGATGTTTCCAAGAAATTATGTCGTCGAAATATATTGTGATCTAACCTAGGAATTTTAATGTATCAACTTACCGAGTCTAAATCTGAACATTCGCTACTGGAATCAGAGTCGATTAACGGCTTATTTTTCCTTTTAGCCATTTTAAAACACTGTGAAAGTCAAAAAACTGTACGAATGTATAGATAATTGTAAAAAATTGTGATAGCTTGGTTTTTTCTTTTCTGAAGTTGTCGAAGTTGACCACAGCAGTGTGACCATCTTCAAATTTCAATTCTTACCAGTTTGTGCGCGAAAGATGCTAAAAATGTATAAATTGATATTAAATAATACATTGAAAATTAATGAAGTTTATTGCGTAACAAATTCGTTTATCACTGTCAGATTTATTGCAAAAATTTAAATATCTATGTTGTTTTATTAATTCAAATTTAACGTTCTAATCTAATAATAAATATATTTTACTAATAACCATATGTTACAACGTATGAAGTACGACTACTATAGAAAAAATAATAAATATCATATTCACGACACTAAGGAAAATAACATATTATTGTAATATGAATTGAACTGAATTATTCAAATTATTAGGCTTTAACTAAAAAATTGTACATAGTTATATAAGACACGACAATTTTATAACTAAAATATTGTTTTAATATGAAATGTCTACAATACAGCTATTTTTGTATTTACATTATTTTGTAATACCATGTATCCAACATGTAATGGTTTCATTTTATTGAACAGTAAATAAAATAAGATATAGCAAACAAAGGGACTATCATTTAATTCAATTGGAACTAAAAATATTTCATTGCTCGTTAAGCCATTTTATTAGAAAACTTTTTGCCACACAAAACTTTTAAAATAAATTATTTTTCACATATAGTTAAAATAATGCCAAAAAGGCAAGAAACTGCTAATGACAAGGAATAAAAAATTGTAAGTACTGAAGAAAAAAAATTGAGGAGCAAATGTGTTCGGATACAATTAAGAAGACATGAAGAAACATTTTTGAGTCATAGATCAACATGTATGTATAAATAGAACAATAATTTGATTTTATCAAAAGTTCAATTTAAAAGACTTTAATAGAATATCTATTTAATTTAAATACCTTTATAAGTTTTAAAAAGATTTAAAAAAACGTATTCAATTTGCTATCTTCAAATTTCAAACCTATTGTATTCTGTGGGTCTGTCAATCAATCAGTCATTACATATTTCATTATCATTCCAGTAATTTGTCATTCTAATTGTTTCTTCCTATAATGTAAAATTGATTGTATCATTTTATCGTTTAGAGTTATTATTTATGTGGTTATCCATTCACAAAATACGTAATTAAAAATAATACTTCATTTTATAAGTTACATCTGAGTAAGCTGCCATAAATAAATTTTAATAGCTGAATTATATTTTTTTAAACTGTACTAGTGTAAATTAGGCAAGAGAACTAGATCCAATAACGGTAGACGCCGTTCTATTTTGTGTCAACAAAAAATTATTATGCCTCATGATTTAAAAGAGCTGAGCGTGCGAAAAGCGCTAATGGTAAGTTTAAACTAAAATAATGTACAATAACTTATTGGATAGTAGGTGAAACTTGTTTTCTAGACTTTTCTGTGCTGAAAGTTGGATGTTGTATTTGGAGGTAGAGGTGTTTGATGGGTACAGTGAGGTGCCATGTTATTACCTAGCATATGAATATTCAGTGAAGAATTGATAATTTTAACAGTCAATAATCATTGTACAAATATACTACCAGTGTAATAGTAGTTATGAACCCAGGACAAGTCACTCAGTCTAACAACTTATATAAATACTTAAACGATTTTCATTTCACTAGTTGTCTAGATTACTTACTAAATGATTACTTAAATGACAAATGTGCATTGCATGTTTATTCATCCAGGGAATTTTCTTTTAATATTAAACATAGGCATCTATTTATCTTTTTTTTTCATTAAGGGGTTTGAGTTAAGTTTGTCTAGCGGTTTAGCACACAGCTTATCTTTCAGTGGCCACACATTTGATTCCTGGCATGGTACAAACATTTGTATTCATGAGTATGATTGTTTGTATCGGTCTGTGTATTTTCTATATATATTATCAATTTAAATATGTATATATTTGCTACCCACAGGCTCCACTTTCGCCAACACCATGTGCAGAGATCAGTGATGATGAGCTGGTCTCCATCTCTGTGCGAGACCTGAACCGGCAGTTAAAGATGAGGGGCCTCACAAGAGATCAGATTGTTAGGTATTTACAATTGAATATCAGCCTACTGAGTATTACAATGTGAATAGTATTTTATGGATGATAATGGAATGGTGCACCCGCCTGTGCTAACGGTTTACGCTAACAGGACACCAGTGGGGGATGATAAGATGAGGTCAGGTCAGTTAGCACATCATGACAAACTCATCAGGAATTTATCACAATGGTTTCCAGGGGGAACCGTGGGGAGGTCAACCTGACATGGTACATTGCTAGTAATGGGGTCTTGAGTCTTGTGTCCATATTACTAACAATTCCCTTCCCCCTGTGAATCGTATTACAATACTAATTTTTAATGAGGCACCATAAGTTACACTCTTTCCCGAGGAGATAAAAACTATCGCTCCTAAGAATATCCTTCAATTCTTGTCCGTGACGGGTCTAGGTAGCAAACTTTTAAAAAGGGCGAGCACAATAGATCTATGTAGGTGCAATGCTACAGGTGCTACAAACATCTGATAATAGCCTAAACAACCCAATAAAAAAAAAATAAAAATAAGTTATTTTGATAAATACCTAAATCAAATTTCTTTATATTTTTTTCTTTTAGCAATTCTCCTATCAAAGTCTCATTCCTTTAACATTATTTGTTTATTATTATTCTTAAATGTTTAGTAAAATGTGTAATACTCTTAAATGTTCTGATCGACCCCGTCCAATTCAACGGGGATCGATGTTACGACGGCCTGAGCCGAGGTTCGAACCCCTAGTTCGAGCCCTCAGACTAAACTCGTATCTGTTAACCAGGAGTTTGCCTTCAGCCGCTCCATAAGTCCTTCCGCGGGTTTGGAGTGCCATCTGCACTCGCCCCCTATCGTCCGGTGAAGCTGTAAAGGCCATCTGCGGCCAACAGCATTAGAGTAGTCCAAAAAAAAATGATTTGTTTACTGTTATTGCAGAATGAAACAACGTCGCCGAACATTGAAAAACCGTGGCTACGCAGCCTCGTGTCGCATCAAACGAATAGAACAGAAAGACGAGCTGGAAACTGAGAAAAGTCAAGTGAGTTCGACCATATATAACCTTCTAGTTTTAGTATGACGATACTTCCATATAAACTTTCGTCTCCCCTTTCAACCCCTAACAATATTTTTTTCGCATTAAAAAGTAGCTTATGTAAAGTACATAGGGTGAACTATCTGTGTATTTTTTATATTTTTTTGTGTAGATGTTTAATTCTGCGACCACACTATATTTTATTATAGTGTATATATTTTTTATATTTTTATATATGTATATAATTTATTATATATACAGAATTTATAATACAGTTTTGTAGTATAACATATGCTAATGGTAGCTGAGTAAACAAAATAATATTAATCTATTGAGTAATGAAACGAACTTCCACAGAGTAACACATAATTAGAAAAATTAAATAGCAATGCCCGCGGTTTCATCCGCGGTAAGTTTAAATGTAAAATATAGCCGATGTGTTATTCTGATGCATAAGCTATATTACTGTAAAGTTTAATTAAAATCCGTCCAGTAGATTTGGCGTGAAAGAGTAACAAACATCCATACTTATAGACATAATAGTCAAATATTACTGAACGGATTTTGGTGAAACTACAAATATAGCTTACAAGCTACTCGCCCCGGCTTCAAACGGGTGTACATGTATTATATGTATAAACCTTCCGCTATAATCACTCTATCTATTAAAAAAACCGCTTCAAAATCAGTTGCGTAGTTTTAAAGATTTAAGCATACATAGGGATGGACAGGCAGCGATCGCGACTTTGTTTTATACTATCTAATAATGATTAAAATGATAATCCTTACCTACTCCAGGAGTGGCACGACATGGAGATGATGCAGGAGGAAAACACTAGGATCCGGGAGGAGATCGACGCACTCAGAGGGAAATATGATGCACTGAAAAGATTTGCAATAATGAAAAACATACCCTTACCACCAGAACTAGAAATGGTCCCATGAAATTTTATTCCTCCCATAGACATAAATATTGGTTAAGACGTATTAAGAGATGATGGTTTAATTTGTATGTTTAATGCTAATTAAATAGATAATAATTGTATATATATTTGACGGCCTCAGTGGTGTAGCGGTTAAGCAAACCATATTACTACCGATGTTTGCAGGTTCTATTCCTCGCACGCTACAAACTTTTGTATTAATGATTGTATTGGTCTGGGTGTTTTCTACGTATATTATGTATGTATTTAAAAAAATGTATTAAATTATTTATATCACTTGTCTAGTACTCACAATACAAGCTCTGCATAGCTTGGGACTAGGTGCTGTCTGAATTTTTAAGGGATATTATTAATGTATGCCAGTAAAAGCAATTCTATTATATTTAGACTATAGACTAACTAACTAGACTATATTACATATAATAACTTTGTGAAAAGTCCTCTGCGTAAAAAAAAACAAACATTCACAAATTCGACACACACATAAATAAGAAACATAGATAATGACTATAACTATACTATAGTGGTCTCCCAATGGTCTAAATTCGACCATAATTAATTTAAATTATAAGTTTGAACATTATTAATTAAGGTTCTATTGTATGCCAGTCAAAACTAGGCCTATGCATAACAAAAATCTGCAGATTCTGCCAAACTGAAGAGGAAACGCTACACTACACATCCTATGTGGTTGTAGCCCACTCATGCATAAACGAAATATCTCCTTTGGAAAGTTTACACTCTTTCCCGAGGAGATAAAAACCATCGCTCCTGAGAATATCCTTCAATTCTTGTCCCTGATTGGTTTAGGTAGTGAACTCTGACAAAAAGGCGAGCACAATAGATCTATGTAGATCGCAGACAATAGCCTAAACAACCAAATAAAAAATATCAAAATAAAAAAGAAGGTTCTATTGTCAAAGACTTGAAAACATACCTCAATAATCTCAGGCACAGGCAATAAACAAAAAGAGTATATACACGTGTGTATATCGAATACATGGTGTTTTTTTTATTGATATAAAGCATATTTATGTTTTTATTTTAAGTTTTTATTAACTTATAATAATTTACAAAACAGTTATAAAACAAAATGTTGGTATTTACATAAACTATAAGTGTGTGAATAAAACGACCCAAGTCCGTAGTCTCCGTTTTTGGCCATTGAATATATGCGTAACATAAAATGATTATAAGGCGATAACAAAAAAATAGATAATGTTAACCTCTAAGTTTTAATTTTAATATTTAGCGTAAGTGGTATATATTTATTCAATAAAATACATGTAATAAGAAATAAATTTGTATCTATTTCATCCTATGAATTAAAAAAGTAGAACGAAGTTATTCCTTTCTCGAGTTTTTTTTATTTATATCCTGCAATCAGTCTTCCAGATTATAAAAAAATTGGCCGTTGTAAAATCTTATGAGAGGTGATTCTCTAATGAAAGTCCAGTCTTAGATATCCCATCTTACGCCAGAAGTCTGGTATTTTACGTCTATTAAGACGAGCCATATAATCAGGCAGTATCAGTTGAAGTAGCCCTGAATCTACATTGGAGGCAACACGGGGTCCGGGTGACATGTTCTGGGGGTAAATTCGAACTTAGATGAATACACTGCTCATCATTATAGCACCTTTGCCTTGATTATTGAGACGTTAAGTAAATTATATTTAATTTTTTGCCTCGCCTCGTAAATAATAATTATCCGGGGGTTTGTAGTTGAGTTTGTTGTAAGATTTTATTATTTTGGTACACAGCGACATCTATGCTTAAACTATGCAAAGTCCATTTTAGATTTTGTTATTGTATTTATGTAGAAAAGAAACAATTTTACGAGTAACGCGGACGATGTCTTTGATAAAGAAACGTATTCTTCTATATATAAAAAAAATCTACTCTATATCATTATCCAGGGAGAAACCTGGATAATGATATAAAGAGTAGATTTTTTTCCACAAAAAGTACATTTGTTATTACCAAAGTTAGGGAAGTTTTTTGATATTGAATGCTATTATAATATAAAGAGCTGTATGTAGGTATAAAGAATATTAATTTATTTTTACACTTTACATCAATTGTTATAGACAAAATGTTTAACAGCAATCTTTGCAGTGAGCTCAAGGCTTGTGTCGCAGGAATCAGAAATCTTTAAGTACAGAAACTAACTTAATACAGGCTTCCAGTACAACAAGGTACAAAATTAACCAATATTATATAGGTAAGTACTTTACAAAAAAAAAAAAAATAACTAGGTAAAGTTTGCGTGTAGACTAGGTATGAGAGCGTGCGTGCATTGTATTTATATATATGTTGTAGTGTATATACGGTGCAGAAACATGGACACTAACCGTAGGCCTACTTCATAAATTAAAAGTCGCACAGAGGGCGATGGAGAGAGCTATACTCGGAGTGTCTCTAAGGGACATGATCCGAAACGAGGAAATTCGACGGAGAACCAAAGTGGACGTCATAGCTCTCAAAGAATGTTTGCTGAAGTGGCAGTGGGCTGGGCATATCAGTAGAATCAGCGATGATAGATGGGGAAGAAAGGTTATGGAGTGGAGGCTGCGTATGGGTCGACGGAGTGTCGAAGATGGACCGACGATGACATAAGGTGGCCGGGAGTGGATGGATGCGGAAATGCGGAAGGCGGAAGAGCGCACATGGTGGAAGTCTCTGGGAAAGGCCTATGTCCAACAGTGGACAGACACAGGCTGCTGATGATGATATGTTGTAGACAGGTCTGCTCTTACAAATATGTTTTGTTTCTTTCTCTTTTTAATTCTCTCCTTTAATTTGAATGGCTTTCGCGAAACAAAGTCGGTGTTTTAGCCAGTGTCGTGTCAATTTTGCTATTTAACAGTTCGTAGTTACACAATATCTTAAAAATGTAATGCTAAACGACATATTTAAAAGTGCAACACTCAAATTTCCTGTTTATTGTAAAAAGAATGTGACAGAATGCAGACTCATCACAAAGTGACGAGTCAGCGTTTTAAATGAGTGGTAGAATAAAACAAAAATGACTATTTAAAAGTGCGTATATTAAGTTTATTTGAATGAAGGTTATTTCTATTTCTATTTCTATTCTAATATGCCTACCATTATAAGGACTTGGTGGGAAATTAGATAGTCAAGTTTATAAACTGGTAATATAATCTCATATTATGTACAGATGCTGCAATTTTTTTTTTATTTGGGTTGTTTGGGCTATTGTCAGTTGCCTGTAGCACCTGCAGCACTGCGACCTACATAGATCTATTGTGCTCGCCCTTTTTTCAAAGTTCGCTGCCTAGACCCGTCAGGGACAAGAATTGAAGATATTCTTAGGAGCGATGGTTTTTATCTCCTCGGGAAAGAGTGTAAACTTTCCAAAGGAGATATTTCGTTTATGCATGAGTGGGCTACAACCACATAGGATGTGTAGTGGCGTTTCTTCAGTTTGGTAAATTTATTTTCTTAAAGGACAGTTCGCATAGAGTGCTAGCGTTTATTTCCAATAAATATTTCATTGGTGAACCAGCTCAAAAAGCACTCGATGGGGTCACTTATACCTTACTCGCTGTAATTGCGTTGGGGTTATCGAGACGTACCCGAGGCGTATACGAAAGCAAAATGGTCTTACTTATTCTGATACTCATATTATTGTAATTTGCCCTGTAGGGAAATCTATCCTTAGTAATATTATAAACTAGCTGTACATGCGACATCGTCCGCGTGGAATTTAACTTTATTTTTCAAAGATAAAAGTAATTTTCTAAAATATAAGTAGTTATTCCTTATTACATCTCTCTGCCAAAAAAAGTCAGACAGACAAACAAAAATTGTAATAAATGTTATTTTGGTGTATGTACCGTATTTATATTCATATGCATGAAGTAAAAAACGATTATTTCAATATTACAAACAGACACTCTAATTTTATTTATGCGTATAGATTTCATACTCTTCCATTCGCGCAATTTTCTTAAAAAAGGGTACAAAATTTTTGCGTCAGTTTTATTATTTTAATATTGCTAACAATTGAGTGATATAATTTGTTGAAAATAAATGAAACTGAAATCTCTAGGAATACTAACCGTATCGAATAGATTGCTCTGTTCATCCCAACGTTTTGTATCAAAGGAAACTAAGGAAAATTAACTTTATTTGTCTAAAATATAAGTAGCCTAGTTACTCCTTATTACATCGGCTACCTGCCAAAAAATGTTCTGTCAAAATCAGTCCAGCCATTCCAGAGATTAGGCGGAACAAACAGACAGACAGAGAAAAATTGTAAAAAATGTTATTTTTGTGTATGTACCGTATTTATATTCCTATGTATGTAGTAAAAGACAGTTATTTCAATATTACAAACAGACACTCTAATTTTATTTATATGTATAGATTTCATACTCTTCCATTCGCGCAATTTTCTTAAAAAAGGGTACAAAATTTTTGCTTCATTTTTATTATTTTAATATTGCTAACAATTGAGTGATATAATTTGTTGAAAATAAATGAAACTGAAATCACTAGGAATACTAACCGTATCGAATAGATTGCTCTGTTCATCCCAACGTTTTGTATCAAAGGAAACGTAAACAACAAGACAAGGAACTCGGGCGGGGTTAAATTGGACACTGGGGGTGCTGCGGTTGGTCTCGTTAGCACAACAATGTGTCAAACGTGACGTCAATCGATTGATTTCAGTAGTTAAGAGGAGTGTGTGCAATAAAATTACTATTGTTGTATTGTAGGTATCCGTTTTACAAATATCTTAATATAAATATATATAACTCAAAGGTGATTCACATAGTGATCTATCAATGCACAGCCCAAACCACTGGACGGATCGGGCTGAAATTTGGCATGCAGGTAGATGTTATGACGTAGGCATCCGCTAAGAAAGGATTTTGATAAATTCCACCCCCAAGGGGATAAAATAGGGGATGAAAGTTTGTATGAAACTTTGTCAATTTTAAACCGATCGGGCTGAGACTTTGCATGCATAAAGCTACTATGACGTAGGCATCTCTTAAGAAAGAATTTTGATAAATTCCACCCCTAAGGGGATAAATTAACGCAAGCGAAGCCGCGGGCAAAAGTTAGTTATATCACAGATAATATAATAAACGTGAAAGTTTATAACTATGGATGTTTGTTACTCTTTCACGTAAAAACTACTGAACGGATTTTTTAACTTCACAGTAATATAGCTTATGCATCAGAGCAAAACGTCGATTAAATAGAAAGATACGTTATTGTCATGTGTGTGTATATATATATAGTTCCACCACTCCACAATTCCTTTCAGTCATTCAAAGTTTGACTGGAAGAAATCCCTCATTTGGGATAAGTCCGTCATTGTATATCTTATATATATATTTTAAGATCGTTGTATCTTTAGTTAATTTAAATGTATTTATTGTGCAATAGTGTTACAAACAAACAAACATTTTTCAAAACTAGAAGCTAGAATTGTCTCCTTTTATATAAGTCAATTAAATTAACCACGCCGTCTTGATCATTATCTAAATACTTTTAAAATGTTATATCATACTTCTGTGTAAATTTTAAACTTTAAAGGAAAGAATAAGTTAAATAAATTTAAAAACTTTCAAATATATTTTGATGCTTGTCTTGTAAAACATGTACATTTTGAATACTGCCATTTTTTTATTTAACCGACGATTTGGCTATTATGTTTTATTGAAATTTAACGAAGATGAAACCGCGGACATAGCTAGTACGCCATATCTAAAAAATCACATAGAAACCAAATGGCAATTGTAAGTAGCTTTGACGTGGACATTTTAGTGAGCATGACTACTCAAAACACTAGAGTGTTGGCGGCGTGGTGGGCCGAGTCATTGGGCTCCCTAAAATCTGGTCGAGCGCAGTGATGGCTGGCTCATCCGTCATACTCGTGAACGGGTGCTGCTTGTAGGGACTGGTCTGCTCTAATCACTATGACTGATTTCCTATTATTAATTGTTTAACCAGTGTATTATATATTAAATATTTTTGAAAGAAATATATAAAGAAAGAGCTTA